CATATAGTATTTGTCTTTCAATTATATTTCAATTTAAACTTGTCCAGAGTCACACGGCAAGGCAATGGCAGAGTCATGGATAGAGCTAGGATTTGGAACCAAGCAGTCTATTGAGAAAGACTGTGATGTTTACAACTCGACCTCTTGGACTGCTTTTTTGCCTTTGAAACATTTCTCAGAAAAGACAACCTTGTGCAAAACCTTGAAAAGGGAATAGGAATTGGCCAGATAGGTGTCATGGGCAGGAGAAAGTGAGAGGAAAACAGGGTGTTCAGGTGCTACAAGCAGCCTGAGCTAAAGATATGGGGGTATGAACCCTCCTGGTGGGAATGCAGGTTTTGAGAAGGGGTGTGGTGACAGAGCAAGTTCCTGCTTTTCCTATGGATGTAGCACTTGAATGGAAGTCCAAGAATCTGCAAATGGAGCAGGGAAGGGGGGGTCCTGACCATTGTAGTGTAAGCCTGCACCCACACTGATACCTACTCAGTCCTGTGCTGCTCAGACCCTGCAGGAAGGATTCAACTGGTTTGTTTGTGATAAATAACAGCCTAAATCAAGTTGTGAAGCAGTTGGTTGTCTTCTGGGTTAGCTTACAAAATTATCTCTGTTCTGTGGACCCTCCCTGATTACCCCAAACCCCACTCTATGTAGATTTACCTAAGCTGCTCCTGTACTTAATCATGCTTCTGGCACTATCTCTCGGAATAAGAAGTTGTTTAACACCTCTGTTATAATGTTGCACTTTTAATTTGCCCTGAATTTACCTCATGTAACCCGTTCAGAGCTATCTCTTGGTTTCTTACATTTCTGAGGTTAATCTTATTTGTGGACTGCAGGCATATCTTTTTGCAGCTGAGAAGAACTTTTGTTAGTTTGTTTTCAAAAAAGCAGCATTTACTTTGCTTTACTCATTTTAATTGTCCCTCTTGGGGCTTATGTAAGTGTTCTGTAGCTTCCTTGATGTGAGATGGCAAGAACTTAGGTGTTCCAGTTAATGACCATGAATTTTGGTTTTGCAAAGGTGAGGATGACAGAGTAGGGGTTTGCCACTTTTATTGTTTTAGAGGAGCAGATGAAACTGGCTTTGGGGGACTTGTCTTGTGCCTGATGGTTTAGAGTATCCTTCCTGATGATGTTTACTACCTTTTCTATTTTTTTCTTCAGTAAGATTCTGCAGACACTTAGAATTGGGGGCTTAGAACTTATCACTTTCTCTAGTGATGTCATTAGGCTAGCAGTTAATTACCTGAACAGAATGGTTGTTGTCTGCAAATGGAGATATTTCTGTGCTCTCTTTCTTTCACAAGAGTTATGAAAATGTGAAATAAAGTTAGTTTCTAGAATCTGTCATTTTTATTTCCTCATCCACAGGAGGGCCCATTTAACTAAGCCATTTCCACACAGCGTGGAGCAAAAGTAGGTTTATAGTTGTGAGTATGTGAAACACAGAGTTGATTCTTATTATTTATTGTAGTATTTTTCATATGAACAACTTTAAACCTATTTTGCCCTATCCTGTATTTCTCACTAAACATTCCTTAAATACCATGAGGATTTCATTGTTAAAATTAGTCTTCACCATTGGAAATATTAAGAATTTAAATAGTGTGTGCTGACGTTCCTCCCTCTACTTGTCTATATGCTTACCTTCTCAGAGGTCTCAAAGTAGTCCTAGAACCTGTATTTTTACTACGGGTAGAATTTATACCTACTGTGATTTAGAACTACTTGTAATTGTAGCTAAACTTTTATTTGGTGATTGCTGATTGTCTCCCACTCGCAGAGTTGCCTCTCCATATAACATTAAAGAGAATGATGATAAAAATGGCTGAGTTTCCCAAGCAGTCTGTATTCTCACTTGTTGTCCACCAACATAGAGCCCCAGCTGTGCCCTCAAATCGCTGCAATCAATCCACTTTTTAAATTAATTGTCCTGCTTATAATACTTGCGCAGAACAGATTTCTTAAATCTCAAATGAATGTTTCATTTTGCCAGTTATTTTCAAAATTAAGTGATGGGGATGTTTGAATTAAGGAGGCATGAGAGGAGTAGTAAAGGAAATTACTACTTGAGGGTAGATAAAAGAACAGAAATTGTAGTTCTGGCTCCATTTCCCCTGCCCAACACTCCCATCTTCATAAAATGGGTAGGGAAAGTTACTGCACAATCTGGAACATAATACAGGTGGCTGGGTCAGGACCAGCAAGAGTCTTTGGCTGGTTTGTCAGGAAATTCAACTAACTGCGATTACCCAGACCAGTTTTGGGATACCTGGAAAGTTGGTTTTACGGAAGCTTTCTTCAATATTTTCTATAAATCAGTTTTGGCCTATTAGGGTCTAAAATACCTTACAATAATTAATCTTCTGAAAGGCACTTCAGGGAAAATTACAATAAGAATGCCAAAAGAAATTTTGTATTACTTTGAGTTGATCTACCTACAGATATAACCAAGCTGTTTCACTTTGGGGATTGATGTGCCTGCCTTTTAGATTTATTCAATTTCCTTAAAAATATTCGCTCCCAATATACGAAGAGGGGACCCCCCCCAAAACAGAATTATCTTCTGGAGGGTAGGCCCCTTGTAGTACAGGATCCCCCTGCTATGTGAGTGCTCTAGGAACCCATCTGTATTGGTGCACTGGCTGGCATTGTACTGAGAGGCTGCATTTGGCTTCAGTAAATTTTTAGGTATATTTTAGTGATTATGCTATTACAGTTTTCCCAGTTTTTTCTCCCCTTTATCCTCCCTCCACCCTGTACCCCCAGCCTTCCAGCCTTCCCCACCTTACTTCATGTCCATGAGTTATATATATATATATATATAAGTTCTTTGACTTCTGTATTTTCTGTACCATTCTTAATCTCTCCCTGTCTATTTTATGCCTACCATTTATGCTTCCTATTCTCTGTACCCTTCCCCCACCATTCTTCCCCTCCCCATCCCCACTGATAACCCTCCATGTGATCTCTATTTCTGTGATTATGTTCCTGTTCTAGTTGTTTCCTTAGTCTGCTTTTGTTTTTAGGTTCAGTTGTTAATAGTTGTGAGTTTTGTCATTTTACTGTTTGTAGCTTTGATCTTATTCTTTTTCTTAGATAAGTTCCTTTAACATTTCATACAATAAGGGCTTGATGATGATGAACTCATTTAACTTGACCTTATCTGGGAAGCACTTTATCTGCCCTTCCATTTTAAAAGATAGCTTTGCTGGATAAAGTAATCCTGAATGGAGGTCCTTGCCTTTCATGACTTTGAGTACTTCTTTCCAGCCCCTTCTTGCCTGTAAGGTTTCTGTTGAGAAATCAACTGAGAGTCCTATGGGAACTCCTTTGTAGGTCACTCTCTCCTTTTCTCTTGTGACTTTTAAGATTCTATGTTTATCTTTAATCTTGGGTAACTTAATGATGATGTGCCTTGGTGTATTCCTCTTTGGGTCCAATTTCTTTGGGACTCTCTAGGCTTCTTGGACTTCCTGGAAGTCTATTTCCTTTGCCAGATTGGGGAAGGTTTTCTTCATTATTTGTTCAAATAAGATTTCAATTTCTTGTTGTTCTTTTCCTGCTGGTACCCCTATAATTCAGATGTTAGATTGCTTAAAGTTGTCCCATAGGTTCCGAAGTTTCTCCTCATTTTTTTGAATTCTTGTTTCTTCATTCTGTTCTGCTTGAGTATTTATTTTTTCCTTCTGTTCCAAACTGTTCATTTGAACCCCAGTTTTCTTCCCTTCACTGTTGATTCCCTGTACATTTTCCTTTATTTAGCTTTGTATAGCCTTCATTTCTTCTTTTTGTGACTAAGCTCAATCATTTCTGTGAGCATCCTGATTACAAGTATTTTGAACTCTGCATCAGATAGGTTGGCTATCTCCTTGTCATTTAGCTCTTTTTCTGGAGTTTTGATCTGTTCTTTCATTTGGGCCACATTTTGTTGTCTCAGCACACCTGTTATGTTGTAAGGGGGTGGGACCTTAGGTATTCACCAGGGCATGACAACCCTGGTTGCTGCAAGCTGGTGCTGTCTGTGGTGGAGGGGTCAGAGTGGGAACAATGCTGCTGAGCAGCTAGCTTCTCCATTCTAGCCCCACTTTCCAAGGAACTCTCCTGTGAGACTGGGAGTTTCTCCTGCCATGTCAACCCTTGAGGTAGTTTACAACTAGCTTTGAGTCTTTAGTTTCCCATTCAGCCAACCCCACCTCACCCACATGGTCCACTGCCTTGCAACTGCCTGTCCTCTCTGCTGGGCTGCCTGTCTCTGTCACTCCTACTAGTCTGGGTGAATGTTTTTTGAATACTTTGGTTGTTGGAGTTCCATGTAGTTTTATTTTTCTGTCATTTCTGGTTGTTTATTTGTTTTAGATTGGTTTTTATCTTTCTTTTAGTCGTAAGAGGAAGTGAAGCATTTCTACCTATGCCTCCATCCTGGCTGGAACTCCTGGCTTCAGTGAATGTTTTTTGAAGACTCTTACAATGTGTTTGCTCATTTCATGATGGGTGATTTACAAGCACACCTGCCCACACCATGCTGAGTGTTCAGCGGTTTTTGACCAAAAATTGCATGACCCCCATGCCCCACCACCCCTACATACCCCATCTTTCCCTAAGTGACTTTTTTTGTTTCCCTGGATGAAAAAACTCTCAAAGAGAAACGTTTGCAGATGTAAAAGAAGTGAAACAAAATAGCAGAAGCACTAAAAGGTATCAAAATTGGCAAGTTCAAAGATGGTTTTGAGCAGTGGGAAAAACATCACAATCAGTGCATTGTATCAAATGGAGAGTATTTTGAAGGGGACTGAAGTTTAAACATGTAAGAAAAAATACATAATTTTTTTATAAATAAATTCTGGGGTATTTTGTCCTCCTTGTAACTTTGATACTCTGGTGATATAGGATGTTTGATTCATATATATCAAAATAATTTAAAACTATGGTTAAAAAAAAGCTTTTCTCCTTTAATTCAATCCTGTTTTTACAACTAAGCATGTTTTATTTGTTCCTAGGATGGTCCAGATTCCACTGGAGGAAACCGGACAAAGCAGGAGAGTGCATGGCTATTCAGGCTGTGGTACAGCTTTGACCACAAGTATCCTTTTACCTGGTTTCCCTGAAACATTGATGATGAAATCATCTTGTTGAGTTGCCAGTGAATGACTTCTGATAAGTAAGGAAAGATGTGCACTTGCTACAATGTAATCAGCCCTTTCTTGGCACTCCGGCAGTGACCATTCAACCACAGGTAGTCCTGGTGAGCATCTCTCTGGCCAGGAGGAACATATGTACATCATTAGGTTAGTCCACTCATAGCCTGGTAGACTCATGTGGTTTTTCAGAGGGTTGTGTGAAATGGCAATATACCTTTGTAGGTGAATTGGTGTAGTCAGGAGGGAAAGTAGAGCTTGGGGAGTGTGGGGAGGCTAATTTCTTTACTTTTTTGTAATTATATTTTATTGATTATGCTATTACAGTTGTCCCATTTTTCCCCTTTATTCCCCTCCACCCTGAACCCACATCCTACCAGCATTCTCCCCCTCAGTTCATGTCCACGGATCATACATATAAGTTCTTTGGCTTCTTCATTTCCTATACTATTCTTCATCTCCCCCTGTCTATTTCTTACCTACCTATTATAGTTCTTATTCCCTGTACCTTTTCCCCATTTTCCCCCTGCCTCCTCCCCACAGATAACCCTCCATGTGATACCCATTTTTGTGATTCTGTTCCTGTTCTAGTTGTTTGCTTAGCTTGTTTTTGTTTTTGTTTTTAGGTTCAGTTGTTGATAGTAGTGAGTCTGTTGTCATTTTACTGTTCATAGCTTTGATCTTCTATTTCTTTTTTTTATTATTAATATTAAATTTTATTTAGTTACTTTTCAAGTACATTTTTTTTCTCTCCCCCCCCGCCCGGTCTCCCCCCTCCCTCCCATTCCCCCCCCCAGTCCTCATCTCTGTGTCTTTCATACTTGTTCCTCAAAATCCCTCCCCCCTTTTTTCCCCTTAAGTTCCCTTCCCTCTCCCCTCTGGTCGCTGCCCACTTGTTCTCTATTTCAGCGTCTTTGTTTTTATTCTGTTTGCTTGTTTGTTTTATTCTTTAGCTTCCTGTCAAAGGTGAGATCATATGGTATTTGTCCTTCAATGCCTGGCCTATTTCACTCAGCATAATGCTTTCCAGTTCCATCCATGTTGTTGCAAAAGGTAGTAGCTCCTTCTTTCTCTCTGCTGCATAAAATTCCAGGGGTCCTGGGAAAAGAGCTGAGACCCTCAACCCCCTCCCTTTCTGGCCAAGCAAGGTGGGGGGCCAGGAGAGACTTGTTTGATAGAGTTTACAGAGAGGGTGCGGAGGACAAAGGGCCCCAACCAAAGACTCTGTGGTTGCCAGCCCAGGAGAACTCAGAGGTGCAGCCTGGGGCTCTGAATCCAGTAGACACGGCAGCCTGGTCTGCTTCACACCCAGCTTGGCAGCGAACCCAGGATTGGGCAGAGGGTCTGGGGCCTCCCAACTGATCTTCTATTTCTTAGAAAGTCCCTTTAACATGTCATAAAATAAGGGTTTGGTGATGATGAACTCCTTTAACTTGACCTTATCTGGGAAGCACTTTATCTGCCCTTTTGTTCTAAATGATACCTTTGCTGGATAGAGTAATCTTGAATGTAGGTCCCTGCCTTTCATGACTTGGAATACTTCTTTGCAGTTCCTTCTTGCCTGCAAGATTTCTTTTGAGAAATCAGCTGTTAGTCTTAAGGGAACTGCTTTGTATGTAACTGTTTCATTTTCTCTTGAAGCTTTTAAGATTCTCTCTTTACCTTTAATTTTTGGTAACTTAATGATGATGTGCTTCAATGTGTTCTTCTTTGGGTCCAATTTCTTTGGGACTCTCTGGGCTTCCTGGACTTCCTAGAAGTCTATTTCCTTTGCCAGATTGGGGAAGTTTTCCATTATTTGTTCAAATAAGTTTTCAATATTTTGCTCTTTGTCTTCTCCTTCTGGCACCCCTATGATTTGGATGTTGGAAAGTTTGAAGTTGTCCCGGAGGTTCCTAAGCCTCTCCTCACTTTTTTTGAATTCTCATTTCTTCATTCTGTTCTGATTGAATGTTTATTTCTTCCTTCTGGTCTAAACCATTGATCTGAGTCCTGGTTTTTTTCCCTTCACTGTTTGTTCCCTGTACATTTTCCTTTATTTCACTTTGCATAGTCCACACTTCTTCCTCTATTTTGTGACCATGCTCAACCAAATCTGTGAGCATCCCGATTATCATTGTTTTGAACTCTGCATCCAATAGGTTGGCTATCTCTTCATGACTTAGTTCTGTTTTTTGAGCTTTGGTGTGTTCTTTCATTTGGGCCATATTTCTTTGTCTTTGTACACCTGTTACATACTTAGAGGCAGAGTGTTAAGTATTTGTCAGGGCGGGGTAACTCACTTCACTGCATCATGCCCTGTATGTGGGGGAGGGGTGAGAGAGGGAACAGTGCTTTCTTGGCTCTTTACACACTTTCAGTCATTTCCCTCACTACTCACAAGCAAATTGGGCCCTTCTGATGCTGATTCTCAAGTGAGTGGTTTTGTGTATGTTCCAGGACCCTTCAATTCTCTTCAATAAGCTCTCCTGTGAGGCCAACAATCTATTCTGTCACCAAAACCCCCACTGGTTTTTACAGCCAGAGGTTTTGAAGCTTTCTTATCCTGTGCTGGAACCCTGGGTTTCAGGGTCTTCCTTGATTCCCAGTTGTTCCTCCCAGTTTATACACATGCAAATGTGGGGCCACCTGGTCTGCCAGCCTCTGCCTTGCTGTGCATCCTCTGCACTTCAGTTACTGGTCTCCACCCCTCCTACTAGTATGAATGAGTGTTTCTTCTTTAACTCCTTGGTTGTCAGACTTCCATACAGTTCTATTTTCTGGCAGGCCTGGTTGTTTATTGTTATAAAATTTGTTGTTTTCCTTCTTTTGGTTGTGCAAGGAGGCAGTGTATCTACGTATGCCTCCATTTTGGCCAGAAGTTGGGAGGCTAATTTCTAACAACTGAATCAACTCTAGGCAAGTCTGATACAGGCCTTAACTGGGCGACATGCAGGATAGACTCTGTTACAATAGATTTACTTGATCCCAGGTGATAATTAACAACCAAAAAGTTAAACTTTTATGGTTTCTTCAGTTGACATAGTGATCAAATAGGCATGTAGCTAGCTTACATATGGTCTTTGGAGAGTTGGAAAGTGTTTCATATTTTTTATTGAAGTATAAGATACATGTAGAAAAGTAGACAAGTCATAAGTCAGTAAATTATCACAAAATAAACATACTTATTTAACCCGAAACAGGTCAAGAAACATGCAATTACCAGGTCTCCTCATGCCATAACCCAATTACTCTCATACACCCTTTCTCTTCCCTAAATGTAACTACTCTCCTGACTTCTAGCAACACTTAATAGTTTTAGCTGTTTTTTTAGTTTTGCGTAAATGGGATTATAGAATATGTGTATGTGTGTATAATATATGTTAGTGTCTGGTCTATTTGACTTGACAGTCTATTTGACTTGACATCATTTGTGTGATTCATCCATGTTGTCACATGTACCTCTAGTTCATCTATTTCATTGTTATATAGTATTTTGTTGTATGAACATATCATGATTTATTTATCTACTGTTGATGAACATGTAGATTGCTCTGCTTTGGAACTGCTGAAAAAAATAGTGCTATGAACATTCCTATACATGATTTTTTGGTTCATGTTTACATGCATTTTTGTGAATGTAATGTTGGGAATATACCCAGGAGTGAAATTGCTGGATCATAGGACATAAACTGGTTCAACTTTAGATAAAAGTGCTAAACAGTTTTACAAAATGATGGTACCTCTTTACACAAGCACCTGTAGTGTATGAGAGCTCTAGTTTCTTCACATCTTTACTGACAATTGGCTTTGTCAGTTTTGTTAATTTTAGCCATTCCAGTGGGTTTGTAGTGGCATTTCATTATGGTTTTAATTTGCATTTGTCTGATGACTAATAAGTTTGAGCACCTTTTGACAGATTTACTGACCACTTGGTATGTTCCTTTATGAAGCATCCGTTCGAGTCTCCCAACAGTTTTTCTTTTTGGTTGTCTGCCTTTCTCTTACTAATTTGTAAGAGTTCTTCATATATTCTGGAGAAAAATATATACATGATTATATATATATATATATATATATATATATATATAATCATATTATTTGCTGGGTTTAGTTTTGCTAGTTATATATGATAAAAATAACTTCTATTTGTGACTTGCATTTTCACTTTTAAACAGAATCTTTTGATGTACAAAGGTCTTCATCCAATTTATTGATCTTTGCTCTTCTGGTCAGTATTCTTTGTGTCCTGTTTTAGAAGCCTTCATCTACCCCAAAGTCATGAAGCCAATTTCCTATGTTATCTTTTAGAAGTATTATTTTCTCTTTTTTTGCATCTTTTTTTTTTTAGTGACAGACATGGGAAATGAAAAAGTATAGATATAGTTTGAGATGCTCTAGATGAGGTTATCATTCTTCAGAGATAATTTAACTTACTGGGGTCAGTGAGTAGGTTTGCGGCATTAGCAATTGTGGACCATTTCAGTCCAGTCAGGTATAAAGGTAATTTGAAGCTGGACTTCAGTTACTAGGAAGGGTTAGTCTGTTTTCTGTTTAGTGTTTTTTCTAGAGTTCTGCCCTAGAGCCTAGGGTGTTTATGTAGTTGTCCTCAGAAGGCTCTGGACACCAATTTTTGTTAGATGCAATATCTTTTTAAGTCATCCAGATGCTCTGTTCAGTTGCTGAGGTGCCTGTAGGGAAAATGTGGCCTACCAAATTCTAGGCTCACCTCTTGGGTTTCTTCCCCCAGATTCTGTCTCTCTTCATTGCCATGGTAGCTTCCTGATGCCATTAAGCAGAAGATTTTGTTGTGTTCTTTCTTGTGTTATTTTGCCCAGGTTTTCTATTTGTTCTCAATAAAAAAGATGGTTTAAATTGCTGTTTGCTATTAACTGAAATAGACCCCCCAGGGAATCTCAAAGCCATATGAACTTCATGTACATTGTAGTCCACAATCATGTTACTC